TGCAAATTTCCAATGATGAATGTCATTATATTGTATACCTAAAATGTACCAATCATTAGAATAAATAATTGATAATGTAAAATAGGAAGTAAAGTTCCAAAGGAGCAGGGGAAGTGGGAGGGGCAGGGGAAAGGAAAGAAGGGAAAGGAAAAATGATGAGAAATAAATGGCACCACCATCTATGCTTTTTGCTTGTGCAAAAATCTTGCAGTTATCCTCCAGTCCTTGATTTCATTTCCAACCCATGTGATAGGGACAACTATTTTCTCCAGTGTTTGTTTTCCTCTCTCTATATATTAATAAAAATTTTTACTTGCATATGTTCTCTCAGAATTAAGACTACATTTCTCAGTCTACCTTGCAGCTAAAGGTGGACATGTGATTTAGATCTGGTCAACTGAAGGTAAACAGAGGGTCAAGGGATCACCCTTTGTCTCTTCTTCATTCCTTTCTCTATCTGGCTGCCTAAGATGTAGATACTGCTTTGAGCAGTCTGTTCACAAGATAGAATTTGAACAGGCAACGTTTAATACAATAAATTACTATTTATAGGGATTAGGCTGCTATAACTTTGAGGATTGGAGAAAAAAGCAAAGTACCCCAACATTGACTGGGAAGTTCACAGGAGGAACAAGGTGAGGGGAGGATACTGAAGGGCAGAATCAGCCATGGATGCTTACAGCTATCAGGTACCTAGAGATCATCTGGTACATCCATGTTATAGTTTTACAGCTGAGGAAAATGATGTGTAGATTGGCTGAGGGACCCACTCAATGGGGGCAGAATTAAGACTAGAGTCTGAGTCTTTACATATTCATTCATATTGTCCTTTTATTTGCAAAGTATATGTAAAATTTTTGATGTCAGTTTTACACAACTGGGTCTAAATAGTCTAAAAATTATTCTGTGCTCATTGCTGAGATTAGTTTAGAAACTTGGACCCAAGACAGTCAGCACAAGGTAAGACAGCCTACTTGGGGCACTGTTACTCCTGCCCCTCAACATTCTATCCTACCATGGCACCTACCAGAGCCTCACCACTTCTGGACACTGGCTCTCTACTGCCACCTGGCCCCTGGACTTAGGGGACCACTAGTGCCACGAGAACAGTTCTGAGCTGGGCTGGCTTATCTGTACATCTTACCCCAAACACAGAGTCCTCTAAGGACTTCCAGTCCTCTGTCCTTCTGTTGGTGCTAAGAAGAAGGAAAAACAACCATTGTCTTCTCAGCTTTTCCGGTGGGAGGCAGAACGCTGCCTCACACTCATGCAGTGTTGGTTTTTCAGGTATGGGGAAGGGGGGTACCTGTTAACAAGTACTCTCTGTATTAGTCTGCTCAGGCTGCCACAATGAAATGCCACAGCTTGGCTGGATTAAAAAACAGGAATTTATTTCTCACAGTTCTAGAGACTGGAAGCCCAAGATCAAGGTGTAGGCAAGATTGATTTCTCCTGAGGCCTCTCACTTTGGTTTATCCATGGCCTCCTAGCTGTGTCCTCATATGGCTGTCCCCCGTGCCCATGCATGCCTAGTGTTTCTTTGTGTTTCCACATTTCCTCTTTTTATAAAGACTCCAGTCAGACTGAGTCATGGGCCACCTTAATGGCCTCACTTTAATTTCCTTGCTGCTTATTAAAGGCCTATCTCCAGAGACAGTCACATTATGAGGTACCAGGGTTTAGGGCTTCAACACATGAATTACAAAGGCAAGACAGTTCAGCCTCTAATATTGTCATGAATGGAAAATATATACTCCAGTGATTAAAAATAGAGCCACTAAATGGAGACTAGGTCAAATATGTGCTCAATGAAGAAGAACTAATTATTAATAGAAAAGCTTCTTGTAGCTTAACCACTGAAGTTGGCAAATGTGGGAAGCAGGCAATCCAGGTCCTTGCTTCTTGGTCCCTGGATGAGCAGTGGCAGCTGCAGTGTCAACTGGGAGCCCTTGGATATGCAGAATCTCAGATCCTTTTGTACCTCATACTCTGCTCTAGGCACTACTTTAAGGAACACCATTTGCTTCCTGCAACTATGCAAGTGAGAGAGAAAACATGTTTATCTGTCTCTGGGGTTCTCCATGAATCTTGCTGCAGAAAAGAAAAATAAGAAGAGAAAAGGGCCCAAGGCACCAAAGTAAAAGAGATCAAGTCACAACTGCTGTTCCAATGGCTCTCCTCCCTAGGCTCTGGCCATTGGCTAGAGCAGATCCAAAAAGCCCTCATTCAGGGCCACCATGACAAGGGCAGTGGGGAGCCTCTCTAAGTCTGTTTCTTGCTTGAGAAACATTTTGGGACTTATATTAAAAATTCATGAAGTGGATTCTGAGGGACTACCATTTCCTTGGACAAGTTTCTGAGCTCTTCACAACTCAATTTCCATATCAGAAATTAAGGATAGCAGTACCTATCTTGTAAGACTCTGTGATGATTCACTGGGTTGGGGCTAGGGTGAAGCTCAGTAGTAGGGCACTTGCCTAGAATAGGATCCATCCCCAGAACCACAAAAGAAATGTCTGACACATAGTAAGTACCACGTTTGTTAGTATTGTTGTTGTTGTTGTTGTTTCAGGGAAGGCAGAAGAGTTCCTACAACCTCTTATTTTTGGCTTCATTATATGCTTAAAGTTAACATTCAACCAGAGAATGTAATCTCCTATGATTTGTTTGTGTATCCAAGTTTTTGCTAGAATTTAAATTATTCACACAAGTATTTTCAGACAATACAAGCTCATCAGTCTCTAATGCTGTTATAATCTGGCTGGTGAATAAATATACATCTGAAAGCTGAGTTACTGGAATTAAGAGTCAACTCCTAGCCACAGGAAGAGGGTAGGGCAGAGCCTTGCTCTTTCTAAAGAGAAGAATTTGAAAGGAGCCCAGATGGGGAAAAATAATGCATTTTATATTTCCTTCCCAGAAATATTTTGAGTCTTTCATGACCAGAAGAGAGAGACAGAAGAAGGTGGGGAGAGAGGGAGAAAAATGCTGAGAACAGAGCCCTAAAGGTAAAAGACATAGATTTTTACTCTATAGATGTACAAGAAAGAAAAATAATTACCCCACATTGATTAGCTTGGAAGCTGTCAGCCCCTCACCCAAGGGAGAAGGAATCTGAAGATTACAAAACACAAAGTCAGCTGGGGGAGATTAATAGATTTGCTCAAAGCTCTACAGTAATGCCTTGATCAATTAAAAATATACATTTGTTAATTAATGAATAGGATATTTCATAATAAAAGAATTCAAAACTCACGATTCAGGTGTCATGTGTCCTGGCACTCTGACCACTACCAGATGAGGAAAGAATGGCACACATTCAAATCTGGTATTCATGGAAGAGGGACACACACTTTGTGGGATTTTGTATAAATGGTGTTTTCCTTGGGCTCAGAAATCTCAATAGAATGGAGGAAGGCCAATCTATGGACAGGTGTGTCCAAGCCAGGGGAAGTTAAGGAAGATGGCACCAAATCAAAAACAGGCAAGCAAAATGAATATACACTACATAGAAGAAGTACAAATGGCAAATAAATACGTAAAGAAATGTTCCACATCACTGGCCACTAGAGAAATGCAAATTAAAGCAACACTGAGATTCCATCTTACCCCAGAAAGAATGATCATCACCAAGAAATTGTATAACAATTGCTGATGAGGCTACATGGAAAAAAGAACACTTCGACACTGTTGGTGAAAATGTAAACTAGTACAACCATTATGAAAATAAGTATGGAGATTCCTCAAAAAACTGAAACTAGAAATTCTGTTTGATTCAGCTAGTCTCCCTTCTAGGTATCTTCCTCAAAGAGTTAAAGATGTCGTATTACAGTGATACTTGCATACCCATGTTTATAGCAGCACATGTTTAATAACTAAATCTTGGAAGCAGCCTATATGCCCATCAACAGATGAATAGATAAAGAAAATGTGGTGTTTACACACATGATGAAGTACTACTCTGCCATAAAGAAAGAAAATCTGAGTCATTTGCAGGAAAAGGGATGCACCTTGAGACCATAGTATTAAATGAAATACCCAAGTTAAATATAGCACTTTTTATCTTGTATGAGAAAAACAAATTATAAATAAAGAGCAATATAGAATACAGATGATAGGAAGTAGGGAGATAGATCTTTCTTAAATAGGAAGAGGGAAAGAGATAGAGGAAGGGAGGGGAGGAAAAGGAAATGAAACAAATTAAAATCTATTATGTACAGGTACTAATTCCACACAAGGAATGTAAACATTATGTACTACAAACAGGTACTAATAAAATTAATTAATTAATTTTTTTCAAAGGAAGATGGTACAAAAGGCCAAGGTAAGGAATAGTTCCACCCTCTCTCTCTTAGGATGGATCCAGATCTGGGACTTCTCACAGTGAGAATATACACTGCCTTTTTAGAAATAGTTTGAATTCCAGTAGAATTCTGAGGAAATAACAAGGCAAATCCTCACCATCTCAATTATCTTCTCTGAAACTTTTGAGATTTACCTTTTATCCCATTGTTTTCCTTGGAAACCTGCCCTGGTATCCAACTTGAGAACTGGACAAAGTTCTTCATTTTGGAATAGAAAAGCAAAGTGCCCCACTGTCACTTGATGCCACAATCCTGATGATAGAGAGAAACAGAGACAGAGACAGAGAGATTTTAATATGTAAATATATGTTATTATTAATAGACTATTTCTCTGGAGGACCCTGATATTTGCATATGGAAAGGGCCCCTTGATACAAGGCACTGTGTGAATTGTAAGCCAGAGAGAACTACAGAGAACTGGTGTGGAGCTAGAAGTCACCATCGCTGACCCAGACAGCCTAGGCTCGGGCTTGTGTCTCCTCCACAGCATAGAGAATTGAGGCAACTGTGACACAGAGAGAGACTAGGGAGAGTGAGGCAGAGACAGAAGTGGTGAGCACTGGGGATAATGAGAAATGGCCCAAATGGCCCTGGCTCAGGCTTTTGTCTACCTGCCTCAGCACAGGGTATGGTGAAAACCACAAGCCTGAGACAAATCTGGAGAGCCAAGGCAACTGATTTGTTTGAGCATGGGAGATGCAGAAAAAATGCTGGATAGGGGTAGGGCTGTCCCATTCATGACCTGAGATCAAATGCTGGAGGGAGATTGGGGAAATCACTGAGAACCAAGAGAACACTACCATAGCTGGGCACTGAGCATGCTGTGACAGGAAAGCTTGTCATGGAGGCTCTGGCAGGCACACAGCCTAGGACCCCAAACAAAAAGCAGCGGAGAGAGAGTGTACAGAGCCTGCTGCAGAGGCTGTGGTAGGGGTGTGGACTAGGACTCTGAAGCTGAGACACAAGAGAGTTATTCCAACCCTATTCCAGGTCCCTGAGAACACTAGAGGCTCCTGAGTATGATGATCCGAAGACAGCTACATTGACAGTCTGCTCAGGGATGTTCATCCTCACCAACAGAATGGCGCAATCTCTCTTCTTTTTCTTCCCTTCTTTCCCATTGTTTCTTCCCCCCTCATTAAGTTTATTGGTACATTTTAGGTATAAAATACATTTACATACATCATTGGGATCTTGTACCATTACATGAATATCTTGGTTCTTTTTTTTTTCTCCCTTTCCCCTGTCCTCCCTCCACCCCCTCCACCCTTCCCTATTTGCAAAGATTTTGTTTCCATTTTTTTCCTTTTCTCATATTTTTTCCCTTCTTTCCT